ATATTGCATTACATGTAGTTCCAACGTATAAACTATTTGTTCAATTTAGTTTTTTGTACTAAGATCAAAATTATCTATAAAACGATCATAATCTTGAGGGTGTGGGTGGTATTATATTCACTCAATCCACCAGCACTCACACCCTTTTAATGGTGTCTATTAACAAATGGAAGGAAAAGTTGTATTGTTTGTACGCAAGCGGTAAAAAAAAGAAAATAAATTCGTTTTTGTGCTGGTAATTCGGGAATGTTCAAAGATATTTTGTGAATCGATTGCTATTGGTCGATCGTATCTCGAGTTTGATTGATCGTTGTAGTAGCTTCTCATCGATCAATTCTGTCTCTTGTATTAGACGTCATTCTTTTTCATTTTTTTTTCTTTTCAACAAGTAATTGCAACGCCATGTGAAATCAATAAAAAACAACCCTCGACTCATTTATCCGAAAACAAAAATAACAACACATCATATATTTCAGCATGAATCTACGATGTCAAATCAAAGCATTGCTACCTTCTTTACGTTACCAATAGAAATTGTCTACCGAATTCTGGACCATCAGTCGGATTTCACAATCCTATGCTCGATGAGAAACGTATGCCAACGATTCAATGAGATCGTAGACAGTTATCCTCGATACCAGGTAAACGTCCTTCTATCATAATAGTCTAGTTTTTATCTATTGATTACTGAATTATTTTTCATTCCTTCAATCTCTATTTATGTAGAATGACTTCAATAAAATATACGTAAATAAATTATTTGTTACTTAAAATCATTCAACAGTTATTAATCTCTTCATAAAAATTCATTTTTTGTTTCTTTTCAATCTCATGTAAATATTTCCCATTGCAAGCCAGGTATGATGTCGTAAATTTGAATCAAAATACCATTCTATAAATTAAAATATCTTATGACAAATAACGTTCTAGAAATTTGCTTGAGAGATATCTTCGACAAATGCTCCTTTGAAAGTATGAGCGGGTGTGGATATGTATTGAGAGAAGATTAATCCATAACAAGATCCACATTTTCATGCAATCATATCATTCATACCCAAATCCTAAAGGTGGACCATTTCTTTAAGGAATACTACTTCTAAAGCAATTTTTTCTAAACTAATTTCTGCGAAATACGTTTAATCCGAAAGAAATTCTTTTCAAGATCGACATTTCGAGAATAATCGATTATCATTCATTACGAGATACTTTTATTACCTCCTTTTTATCTCAGCTTCTCATTCGATTACCTTGAGCACTTCACAGCATCTCAAATCATAGAAATATTCAGATTGATATCTATCCACTCTTAAATGGAGCCATACGAATATTTGTCTCACTAATACAATCCCAGATAACAGCGGTCAACTATTCTGTCTCTTCATCGGTATTATATTTTTACCACTACGTTTTCATTTAGACACTCACTTCATTGGATCTCTCATACAGTCAAATCGAAGATGTTGGAGCAGAACATTTAGCTAATGTATTACAATACAATACGGTAATTCTTATTCTCTCTTTATCGGTAGTATACCTTTACCTCTATCTTTTATATAGACACTCACCACACTATGCCTCTGGAATAATAAAATCGGAGATGCTGGAGCAGAACATTTGGCTGGTGCATTAAAATACAACACAGTAATTCTCATTCTCTCTTCACTCATATCTTGTCTTTACCTCCACTTTTTCATATAGACATTAACTACACTCGATTTTAAGGAAAATGAAATCGGAGATGCTGGAGCAGAATATTTGGCTGATGCATTACAACATAACACAGTCATTCTCATTCTTCCTTCATCTAAATCTTGTCTTTACCTTAGTTTTTTCATCTAGACATTCACTGTACTAGATCTTGAATATAATCAAATCGGTGATGTTGGAGCACAACATTTAGCAAATGCATTACAACAAAACACAGTAATTCTCATTCTCTATTCCGTTATGTCTTGTCTTTATCTCCACTTTCTTATCTAGACTCTCACTTCATTGAATCTCACATATAATCGATTGGGACATGTTGGATCAGAACATTTGGCTGGTGCATTAAAACATAACAAAGTAATTCGTATTCTCCCTTCAACTATATCGTGTCTTTACCCTCCGCTTTTTTCATCTAGACACTCACTATGCTTTATCTGAAAAATAATGAAATCGAAGATGCTGGAGTAGAATATTTGGCTGATGCATTACAGCACAATAGAGTAATTCTCATTCTCTCTTCATCGATATCATGCGTTTACCTCCATTTTTCCATCTAGACACTTACCACTCTAGATCTTGAGGAAAATGAAATCGGAGATATTGGAGCACAACATTTGGCTGATGCATTACGACAAAATAAAGTAATTTTCATTCTCTCTTCATTTAAATCTTGTCTTTACCTCAGCTATTTCATCTAGAAACTCACGACACTAAATCTTTCAATTAACCAAATCGGAGATGTTGGAGCACAACGTCTCGCTGATGCATTACAATACAACCCAGTAATTCTCATTCTCTCTTAACCTATATCTTGTCTTTAACTTCACTTTTTCATCTAGACTCTCAGCTCATTGAATCTCGCATACAATGAAATCGGACGTGCTGGAGGACAACATTTCACTGATGCATTACTATACAACACAGTAATTCTCATTTCCCGATCAACTATATCTTGTCTTTACCTCCACTTTTTCATTTAGGCACTAACCACATTAATTCTCTCAGAGGATGAAGTCGGACATGGCGCTGTGAACAAAATAAAACGATCTGTTGAACGCAATGCGACGAAGAAATCCATCAATGCGTATATTACATATGTTGAGGACGAATGAATAGTGGGTGATAATCATAGAGAGATATCATTTCTCTTTTAATGTTTAAAGAAAGAGTAAATAAAAGTGCTTGTTTTGAAACTGAACCTATAATGTGATGATCACGTTTGATTAACATTTGTGGGTGTGGACGTGGGTGGTATTATATTCACTCAGCCCACCCACACTCACACTCCATCAGAAATAAACGACCAGAATCCTGTATTAATAAATATATGTGTTCCTTTATATTTGAGAAGATAATTTTTAGTCAACAAATAATCGAAATAGTTGGTGAAATGTTTTTTTCATATAAAGATTAATTTATTGTAAGAAAAATACCTTGAAATGAATAAAAGAGTACATAAGAAATAAAAAAAAGATTCAAAGAATGAATGAAGAAAATAAAAATTCAGCTATTACATCAGTACATCAGATTTACGTCGTTTTTTTCTTCTACATATAGGTACTACTATTATATACTGATACTAATTTATTCATTTTTCGTACAATACCTATGTATACGAATGGACTCGAAGCAAACTAATAACACCGGAAACAAAACGTAACGAGAAGAGCAAATAAATTAAATTACTAGAGAAATTTCGAAAATATGTTTTCAAATTTTCAATAAAGAATTTAAAAAGAGATCAGTATACACGAGAATAATTTGTTTATATGTTAGTTCATCTAAATCAAATTCGTTTCTTCCAACATTGTTGGAAAAAAAGTTTACATATGCCTTTGTAGACGCAACATAAACAAATATGCTATTACCAAAAAAATGTATGTAAAACGAAAAATGATTTCTGTCGTCAAAGCCGCAGTCCATTAACACAAAGAAGATGATGAAAAATAATTGTCTCTCTCTTTCTTTGTAAAAAATTAAAAGGTATTTTTTCTTTTCTTTTACACTGTAAAAAGTGATGCTGTAAAGAAGGGAATCAAACGCCATTTTATGTTTGCTTGTTATTTGTCGCTTTGTCTAACAGAAAGAAGCATTTTCACATCAAGTTACAAACATGAGAATAAACTTCTACAAGAAATATGCTGAGTCTTTTCTTCACCAGTGGTCTATGTTATGAAATGTATACTTATCTACATTGTTTATTTTTAGATACCACGAGATTATTAAAACAACCATTATTATTTGTACTGAAAAATCATTTTTGTTAAGTATGCTTTAATGTTTTCTCAAATTTCATAAATGTAACGATCGCAAAGTCCGGCTAAAGCTATGTAGACGAAAGATCTCTTAAATGTAAACATTTTCGATAAATATGACTTGTATCGAGCTGGACAATATACGATTAGCTTCATTCTTTTCTATACTCTCTTTCTTGATTATCGAAGAGACTGTTGAACACAACTATACTTCAACCATCATTACGTGACTTCAAAGACTGTCCTCTATCAAACCGTGATTAGTGAGAGAGATGATTTTTATACTATTTAACATCTTGAGGGGTGAGTGTGGGTATTACATTAACCTCACTCTGACACCGACACTCACATCCACACACTCTCTAAGATGGCAACCAAATGATATGGTAGCCATGTGACTTGAAAGTTGTCCTGCTTGAAGATCAACTGATTTGGTATTATACACTAATCATCCAAAACACACTTGTTGCCTATAGGATCGATCCGGTGAATTTCATTTTCGGCGAACGTAGACTAAATCGTGCAATGATGATAATATAATAGGATCGATTTAATCTCATAATATAAAATCGTAGATAGGTCGTATGAGTATCAAGACGTAAAGTAAAAATGAACATTTCTTCAGACGAGTGTTGTCTTACAAACGCGATGATAACACAGAAAAATGATGGAAACTCAAACTTCTCTTTTCCAAAAATCTATTGCCAGATCAAAATTATCTTTAAATTGATTTTTATGTTCATTTCTAAATAGAATTCAATCAGATAGAAATAGGTTTGCAATTATTTTAATTTTAAACAGAAATTTCTATCAGATTATTAATCTATTTCTAAGTTTATTGTGAGAAAATGATAAACCTAGTATATTGATTAGAAGCCTTCCATACTAACTTATCTCATTCTATCGTACTCTTCTTCTAATATATATGCATAGAAAAATCTTACGACAATTATTTTATAGATAAATTCATTTATTATCTCAAACAAAAGAAAATTTGTTTTCATTTAAAAATATTTGTACTGTAGATCACTTCAAATCATGGCTGCTAAGTTTCCTGATGAACCACAAACTATTTCTCGATTCTCTGATTTTACTTCACAACCAAAACGAATGCTTCCACCTATTCAAGGCTATGAGAATGAGCCGCTTGTTTCTCTGGAAGAAGCTATTAATCCTCTCATCTCAATTGTTCCTGAAGTTAAACGCATGGTTTGGACAGTAAAACAAAATCATTTCGATGGAGAACATGGCATAACTGATGATGAGGCAGCTTCGGTCCTACTTTACACAATGGAATGGACACCAAGAGAAAACTCATTTTATATTATTCTTAACAATACTTTGCAAGCAGCTAATCGACTGTTACTCAAGCCGTGGTTTCTTTATCTTCGTCTCATTATGACATCTTTAGCCAAACTTCCATCAGACTCTAATCGTCGTATGGTGTATCGTGGGGTGAAACGTGATTTAAGTGCACAATATCCAAAAGGAAGTACAGTCACTTGGTGGGGATTTTCATCTTGCACAACATTTCTTGATGTTTTAAGCAATGAGCAATTTCTAGGTCAGAGTGGCACAAGAACATTATTTAACATTGACTGTTATTCTTCCAAAAGTATTCATCAATATTCACTTTTTCCAGAAGAACACGAAATACTACTTCCTCCAGCTCGACAATTTCAAGTGATAGCGTCTCTATATACTGGTAATAGCCTTCACATTATAGAACTCAAAGAAATCGAACCTGAATATCCACTCATCAATCCTGTATCACAACCTACACCACATCCGCCAATACCGTCTATGCTTCAACCAACGCCACTTCCAGACTCATCAATATCGCCTATGGCTGAACCAACACCACTTCCAGATCCACTAAAACCGCTTCAACCACCTAAATCTAATAATCCCAGACTACAGAAGTATATTGATGCAATGTACTTCGACCAAGTAATTAGTAGATTTATACACACTTTTCCTCAATAATCTTGCCACTCTAAATCAAACTTATATCAATCTTACGCCACAGCATATATTTCTTACACTTTTCCAACAGACACTCACTAATCTCGACCTCGTAGGCAATCACATCGGTGATGAAGGAGCGCAACATCTTGCCACTGCTCTACAAATCAATAAAGTAACAACAATACTTGTTCTTCTTCCTCTTCACTTCATTTCATCATTTGCACACTTTTCACACAGACACTCACTACACTTAATCTGTGGAACAATAGCATCGGTGATCAAGGAGCACAAGATTTTGCCAATGCTCTACAAGTCAACAAAGTAACGACAATACTTGTTCTTCTTCCTCTTCACTTCACTTCACTTCATCATTCACACACTTTTCACACAGACACTTACCACACTCGACCTCTCTGTGAATCAAATCGGTGATCAAGCAACACACGATCTTGCCAATACTCTACAAGTCAACAAAGTAACAACAATATTTGTTCTTGTTCCTCTTCGCTTCACTTCACTATTCACACACTTTTCACACAGACACTCACCACACTCAAACTCCATTCGAATAAAATCGGTGATCAAGGAGCACAAGATCTTGCCAATGCTCTACAAATCAATAAAGTAACACAACTACTTGTTCTTGTTCCTCTTCACTTCACTTCACCATTCACACACTTTTCACATAGACCCTCACCACGCTCGACCTCACAACCAATCATATCGGTTCAATAGGAGCACAAGTGCTTGCTAATGCTCTACAAATCAACAAAGTAACAACAACACTTGTTCTCCTTCTTCATCACTTCACTTCATCATTCACACACTTTTCACACAGACACTCACTACACTCTACATCACACGCAAACATATCGGCTCTGATGTAGAAAAACTATTTAAGAAAATATGCAAAAAGAATGCGGGACTGAAAATAACTTATTACTGAAAAGTATTACTAACGATACTAACCACAAATAAAACTGCTTTTACTTTTTAATGGTTATAAGATTTCATATTGGCTGAAGAGATATATTTGATATTTTGGAACAAGACAAGGTTTTATCTTCTCTTCGCAGCTAGCAGAGGATACAGAAATGTGACGCGGATTGTATATTTGAAAAGTAAGGCTAGATCTAGGGCGTGGTTTTATTGCTGCGTTACTTGAGTCGATGTTTGGTTGATGTTTAATAATAGATCCTTAATGAAAGAAATAAAGGGGGAGTGGAATTTATGAAATAGTTCGCATGTTTGTATCGTACGATTTGAGGAGAAAAAATATTTCCGCCTTGGCAGACTGTTTGCGATTATATGTACATAAAGAATTATCTACTTCTAATTGAACTAAAACCAATATGAGATCGTTGCTGTTGTTTGGTTTTATTTTGAAACGCTAAGCAGATGTTAGTGAGACAAAAACTAATTGGGAAGCGTGCGTGCTTGCAATATATTAGTGCAACTTATCAGTGTATCAGTAACTGTTTGTCTGAAATAAAGAATTGTCGTAGCATATTTCATGCATAGAAGGATAGACTAGCTTTTAGAGGTTCTTAAACTTTGAGGGCCTAAATATTGATTCTTCGGAACCGATTTACTTTTCTTGTAGCTGGAGTTTTGTTTCCTTTTGTTAATAAGAACGATATTTTTGCACTCCAATATTTTGGGAAGTATATGGTCTCTTCTGTTAAGTTTTTTGGAGTTGCTGTTGACTAATGTATTTATCCGTAAATAATTTATACATATAAAATTTTCAATTGAATTGTTTTAAAAAAAAGTATTATCCAAACTCCGAGTCTAGTAAGTTAACTAAAACTATTCGTGGATGCATATACGATAAACACGAGAAAAAATGAAGTTTTCTTCCTTGAAGAAAGGTTGACTTACAAATGAAAAAAGAATCCTAAATATTCGAAACTACGGGTATACTTTCTTCACGAGAATTGTTGCTCAAATTCAGTATTACACAGGTATGATTTCAACTGACCTTTACACTGTGCAGGCTTTATGACTATACTAACAACCAACATAACGAGTCGGTCGAAATCTTCCGAATAAAAATAGAATACTTATTTTTCTTTTTTTCCAAAAATACAATGATACAAGATGAAGACAGCTATATATTTACGCAATAGGAAAGGATCGTTTGTTTCGATTTTTCATAATTTTCCACAAACATCTTTCATCTTTTTTACAGTGACTTTATAATTCATTTTTTTAACTGTGTTTTAATTCTGTTGGTCGATTATTTCTCATTCATAGCCATCCGACTTCCATAATACAGCTTAGCCGCTAATATTGACTAGAAATCCTCGATGGATCGATACATCTCAGCGCAAAATATCTCTTCTGTTCACAGATGAATGTGAAAAGTTTTGATAAACATTTTTCAATAGATATATTGCTGATCCTTTCGTTGTTTCAATGTATGATATTGAAATATTTTTTTGGTTAATATCAATCGTAGACCAATATTTTAGGTGCAACTTTTTCTTTGAATTTGAACTTAAGATAGTCGACATTGATAAGTATGTCTGAAGAAAATAATTCTTCATTTATTCAAGAAATCTTTTGAGAAACATGAAGCTATATTTGATTGCTTAGAATAAATAACAAATTTAATGACAAAAAAAGGACAGTTTTATAATTCAACATGAATATTCGAAGAGTAAAGTACCAATTCCATTATCTTGATCAGTCCAATCCGTATCGGCCATATTCATAAATTGTTCACGTGATAATCGTTTTTTCTTGCTTTCATCAACCATTTGAATTAAATGAGTAATATGCCTCTGAGATATATTAGCACCACTTTGTTCATCATGGGGATGACCAATAAGTTCAAACATAGAAGCAAAAAGTGGTTCAATTGCTTCTCGAGACAAATACCTAATTAGATAATAGAATAATAAAAATAAACCAATAAACATGACAAACGAACCCTTCTTTACGGATATCAATTATATCAAATAAAAAGCCAAGATATGATTTATCTAGTAAATTAAAAAATCTTAATTATTTTGTAAAATTCGACTTTCTTACCATTATTCAATTGACAATTAAGAATTATAAATTCAGTAAATTCAATAAATCCTCTTTGATTTTTATCACTGAAAGGAAAAAATAATCTACCGTAATATTTATTTCTATAAAAATATTTCTTTATTTACCATAAATTAAATAAATAATTAGAAAATTTTTCAACATTGCCTGTTGGCCAAATTTCTTGTAAAACAGTTGTAAATTGTTCTTTTATCATTCGTCCATCTTTACAAATATTTAAAAATTCAGCATACCTTCGATGAACTTCTCTATCAACTAAATTTGTTTGTTGACATATGTATAGAATTTGACTAGGTGCCAGTAACATATTATGTTTTATAGTGTGTTGTTCATAAATAAATTTTGATTTTTGATGTCCCATGATAATTGATAAGACCTATTAGAGAATTAATATTTATTCAAACATATAACTTTTCAACGTTGAGAAAAATAAAGCACGTTCCATTCTTATGCATGACGTCAAACTCTAACTTATCAAATGCAAATAAAAGAATATTTTTTTCTTCTTTATTAGTAAGCTCTAGAAAAAAAACTCCGACGCATATGGTATTAATATAAAATAACTAAAAAGATTATCGCGTCTGAACATAAGAAAGACTAATAATATGACTCAATTTAAAGAAAAGATTTTTCAAAACTAATCTTCATCAAGATTTCTCAAGTATGAGTCTTAATCACATACGAAAGAGTAATTAATGATAATGACACACATATATATATATATATATATAGAATTTCAACAAATTGTTCTAATCTTAGACATCTTTTGATGAACTTGTATAAGATCACAAAATATATTTCACTATTAGTTTCAAAGCATTGCATACTAATGGCACGACTTTTGTTAATATTCTTGTTACATTTCAAATAATATTTATCAAAGTCATCATGATAGAGAGTAAATACAGTGAGCAATTTTAATATACAACAAGTTCTATTGAACTAATAATAATATTAAACGTCAATACTTATGTTATTTTCTCTATAGCTAATACCCTTATAGTATATCTCATTATTTACTAAACAGTTATATTTCGAGTCTTTGGCTTATATCCTAGCAGACAAAAAATTAGAAAAACGCGTTTATACACTCGATCGAGGACCGTGATTGTGACCCATTCACGCTTAATAATAAAACGCTATAAACGGCGTTTTGAACGTAAAATCACCACCTTTATAACGTTAAAACGGTCAAAAATTCATATTTTTAATGCTTAAACGCATGAGTTTTAAACTCTAGAATAAATGCGCGTTTTAACGTTATAAAAGTGGTGATTTTACGTTCAAAGCGCCGTTTATAACGTTTTATTATTAAGCGTGAATAGGTCATAATCGCGGTTCCCAATTGAGCGTTTAAACGCGTTTTTCTAATTTTTTGTCTGCTTGGGTAGATATGCGTCCAACTTGAAAGGTCGATATTCTTTTCATCGTTCGATATTTGTATATGTATTTATATAAAAAAAACCGCGTTTTATACAATCCAACAGGATCCATACACGAGAAAAGTTCAAATAACAAAAAACAAACCAGAAGACTTAAAGTCAGCCGATATAGGCAAGCTATTAGTAATAATAATAACAAGAAAACAAAAAACAAACAAGAGGATATAAAATAAGATAGATCTTTAAGTCCACTCGGCAATGACTCTTCTTCATTTGTTTCGTGTTTTTTAAAGCTTTAATTATTCTTTGTTCAATACATAATGACAGAAAAAAAAAAAGGAAAACAATAGCACCACACAAACATACACACGGTTTAAATTTTTTGATTCATGTTTTTCTTTGATCGATGTTACATAAATGCAAGATCACACATTTATATATAAATATATATAAATAAAACAAACGGAAGAAGATAACATTGCACAAATTGAGCAATACATAATGAAAAAAAAGAAACTGATGATCATTATTATTTGTTTTGTTTTTTTTTGTTCTGATTATCAGTAATAACACATAAACAAAAAAACGAACTGATCTTCACTGTATGTATATAGAAGCAAAGAATGGGAAGCACAAATATGTACATCAGCTGAAAAATGATTATAGCAAAAAATCAAAGATAAAGTAGAACACGGACAGTTTTGTTTGATTTCGATGGTAGTTACTGTTCGTTGATCAGGACAAAATAAACATTATGGCATCAATGGATTAATAAGGAGCATAGCGAACATTATTACGCATACCCTGTTTATAGGAAAAATTATTTTATGATTATATTCAGAGAAAAATAAACTTACGGTGATAGGACCGATTGTTCCAGTTGGTGTTGCAGTGATATATGCAGTTTCCGGATAAGCATGGCTAAAACAATAAGAAAATTATTAAGAATAGAATACTAATCATTAGCAAATACATTCAAAGCTGAAAAAAGCTAATAGAAGACAATATATTGACCAAACATGCACATAAACATATATATATTCATATTCAATAACTTATTTTTTTTTGTAATCGATTTCAACAAACTCATGCATCATGCTCAACTAATATATATATATATAAATAAATATATTGTTTTTTTTCTATCTCATTATGTCGAATCTGATTTGTATATCAAAAGGAGCATACCAACTGAGCAGGAGTAGTAGAAAACATGGTTCGATATACTGGTAATGATGATCCAACTGCTGCTGAGGGATTTAATGGACTAAGAACGAAGGATATGATCATACGAAACAAAAACCCACATATGGGCACACGATACACACAACAAAACAAAAGCAAGATTTGTTTTTCAACATACCCTAGTTGAGTAGCAGCTGAATTCATATTAGTTGCTGGCCCATTGATAAAATATCCAGTTGGTCCTCCAACACCATTACTCATTGGTAATACACTATAAAAAATAAACGATAAAACAAATGTTTTCCAATATAAGTTTTCATCTTACCCAATTGTATAAGCTCCAGTCGGTTGCCCTGCTGTAGTAAGACCATGAGGTGCAGAAGTTGTTATATATCGAATGCCTCCTTGTGGTTGAGTCGCAATGGGATATGCTGTTAAACCACCTAAAGCGGCTAATTGATCAGGATAAATTCTTTAAATAAAGAAAAAACTTTGTATATTCAGTTACAAAAGAACAACTAATCACATACGTATATCCACCCGGTAAAGTAAGTCCAGTAAATGCAGTAGCTGCACGTGTAGCTTGAATTAATGTTGGACGTTGTCGAGTATTCATGACTAGACCTATTTTATCAATATATATTTAATAAAATAACAAAATCAAAATTCAAACTAACCAAATGGATTTGTAACAATTGGTTTTGGCTTTGGCTGTGATCGAGCCGTTGCCATATTGACCTAATTGAATCAAAATATTACAAATAACTAAATATTAAACATCGCACGAAATAAAGAAAATGAAAAAAAGAAAAAGAGCCAGACATCCACCGACAAAAAGCAAAGAGAAAACAACGAAATCTCGCGAGATCGAACGTTCGAGCCATTCAAATACATGGTGTAGTGTATAAAAAGAAAAAAATGTGTGCATTAATAATTACTACGACAAAATAAATAAATAAATAAAGGAAATATATGTATTAAAAATTGTTTTTTATTCGATTTTATTTACATATTAGCTATCAGAAATAAGTAAACGATTTGTGTGCATGGTGATAAATGAGAGAGATAGATACATGCGAGCGAATATTTCATCTCTCGTTATAGATTTCGTTCGCATTGATTTTAACAATTAATTTAGTTTGATTTGTTAAATAACGAACAACCATGCATACATTATCATCATCATCATCATGCGATGAGAATTAAATTTTGTTTAATTTTTTTACACAAATAAATGTTTATACATAAATCTAAGATTTCGGTATTTTTTTTAATCTTGAATACTGGGTAACAAAAAAGGGATAGAGCAGCGAAAAAAAAAATGTCAAAATTGATAGGCAACAGACAACAACAATATAGGACACAAATTTAGCTAAGTATATAATCTAAATATAATTCTAAGGTTAAACTTGCACTTGATGTGTATATGTATATATATAGATATATGTATAATATGTGATTGAATTTCATCATGCCCCCGAAAATTATTATTCATTTTATCTGACTAATATCAATATATATATTAAAAAAACATAAGAAAAAAAAACAATGGATCAATATAGAAAGAGACGAACAAGCAGCCACGAACAGGCATGCAACGAAAACAGTTGTTTGAATTAAGAAATAGAGAGAAATATATTTGGTTGCCTTTTTTTTTTAATTTCGTTATCTCTACCTCCTATCGCTGTAGCGATTTCTGCTGTTAACATTGATTCGCAAGTAATGTAAAAGAAAACTAGAAGAAGAGTTCTATTTTTTAAAATTGTTTAACATTGATTTCGAAAGATAAATTTTCGACATATACATACCTCAATTTTACGTCCTTCCACAACAGCTCCATGTAGTTTTTCACGAGCTGTATCAGCATTATCACTTGAAGCAAATGTTACAAAACCAAAACCCTAAAAATAAATTCCAACATAATAGAATTTCACAGATGTGAATTGATTGATTCTAATAACCACATGTTATTTATCAATACAAATAGCTATTTCATATTTTCTTTCTCCAGATGAAACTTATCAATGCAGCGAATTACTTCATAATTGATACTATTCTGAGAAAACCCCTTCTCGATTTCATTTCAATGGAATTTCTTTTTGGAATCTAAGTATGCTTTTCTTCGTTCTAAATGAAATATCTTTGTATAAATAATAATCTGACATAGTTTCTTCTTTTATTTAATATAGATATAAAAATAACATTTACTCAGAAAAATCAGTTAATTAACGTCTGGTTATCTTACGCTCATCGAGGCATGATAACATTTATATCATCATCTAAACGTCTTGTATTATTTTAAAGTTAAAAATCTGACAAATTCGAATCAACCTTGACTTTCTCTTGAAGAACATTATGAAAAAAGGAAATGTCTAATGCAAATGAAGTACTAATCAATCAATTAGTCTATAAAAAGACTGATGCTGTCAGCAACTCTCTTTTACATAGAAGAAACTTGAGAAGCGAAGACGTATTTCAACAAGTATAAAGAATTGCGCTCTTGATGATTGCAAAAAGATATATGCCTTCAAAGATAAATGTTATTATATAAGCATACTTTTGATCCTCGTTCATTGAAAATAATTTCTGTATCAACAATTTCTCCAAATTGCTACAAAAAGAAATAAAAATAAAAATATTTTCTTCGTTTGTTATTTAACAAACTTCAAACATTGCTTTGAGATCATCATCTCGAAATCGAAATGGAATATTTGATACATGTAAACGTTTTTGTGTCGCGCCAGATGTTGTACTACCGGTTGTTGATGAACTTCCATTTGGTGTTATTGTACTTGTTGATTGTGGTGATTGAGATGATGAAGAATTTGATTGAGCCTTAAAAATACGTTTGTTCGTTTTTTCAAGAAAAATAAAATATTCTATAACATACATTATCATTATTTATCAATTCATTAGTTGGTATTTGTTGTGTATTACTATTGGTTGTTTCGATAATTGATGAAGAAGATGGTACATTAATTATTTCTGGCAAGTGTGAAGTCGAATCGACAACAAGATTTGTAACTGCTGTATTGGATAGTTTATTCGTTGTTGTTGCCATATTTGTATATGCATATGGATGATGTTGACTAGATGACGGATCAGTTGAGGATGATGATGTCACATAAGACGATGGATGAACTAGATGAGAATGATTAACATTTGTTGGCGTCGTTGTTGATGTTGTTGTACCATTATTATTCGTTGTTGGATTTGAATTCGAATTTGACGATGCAGCTGCAGCTGCTAATAATGTTGGTACTAAAGGCTAAAACAAAAGAAAAAATGAAACCTTTAATTTTCTGTAAGCCGATCAATTAATCTTTAAGTTAATAGATTTCCGGAAGCTTGATCTTTCGTTCTTCTAAATTTGTCTGTTCAAGAGATCTTTTCATGCGTAATAAAATGTTCTTTATTAATTCGTTTAGAAACTTACATTCAATGCTAAATAATTATCCGATGGCAAAAATGAATAAAGCATCGTTGTATAATTGTATGTAGCACCGAGAAAATTCTTGTATAAAGATCAACAGAAGAATATTCTTGTATTTCTCATTGCTAACAGACAAGTATGAAAATAGAGAACGAGAAAGAGAGAGAGAGAAAGAGAGAAAAAGGAAAGACGATCTATATTAGGAAAATAGAATGAGAGAAAGAAAAAGATAGCAGTGCCATCAATACCGAACACAGTATTAGGAAAGAAAAAAATTCGGTCAGCGTTTCTCGTTCATTAATGGCCCAAAGAGAATGAATATAAACAACTGTTAAGAAAAAGAAATGCTATTCTTCGATCTAATCTATCTTTCAGCCAAATAAAAAAGATGAGCAATGTATAATTAAGCGTCTGGAAGGGAGAGAGAGAGAAAGATATATATATATATATATAAATATTGGTGATGATAGTAGTAGCTGTACTTTTTTTTCTCGCTCTTCATCCATCATCGTTCTCGATACACATTAGCTGAATACCCAACATTGCCACTACATTTCTTTTCTTTTCTTTTTTTCTTCTAATGTATAGATATCGCGCCTTTTTTTGTTCGTTAACCAACCAAATAACACGTACGCTCGTTATCATCTATCAGTCGTTTATATATACATGCCAACAAATTTTCGAGAAACAAATCTGTATTTTGTGTATTGTATATTTGTAATATCTAAGCATTCTATTTCTTGCTTTTTGTGGAGTTTGATCATTATTCATTCATATAAACATTGGACATTGTTATTTTTTCTTTTTCTTTTGTACAAGATCAAAAGATATGTCTGTTGCTTCTTCTTCTTCTTCTTCTTGTCTGTCTGTCAGTCTGTTTGATTTGTTTCATTAACGAGTTTGATCTCGACATAGAGCAAAAGACAATAATATTGTCTGTTGTTATAGAATAACTTCCGTTTTGTTACTTTTTACTTAGTCGATCTCAAGGCAAATAAAACAAACAGACAGTTAAGACGAGTCAGTGGCAAACTAATTGCGATTTCTTTTCACTAGAGAACATTGATATACTTAAACAGATGCTCTCTTTACACTCAGTTGTTCTCTTCAATCAATCAATCAAGTTTACAAGCACGCCTGTTGTGCGTTGACCGAACTTTTTTTTCGTATATATATATACATATATATATATGTGCATCATCTTCCCCTTCTTCCTTATCTGTATTTCTCCACCATGCACATACTCATCCAATTAGAGTGTTGAAAGAAAAGAGAATGAAAGATGGATGGGTGGGTAGTAGTAGTAGTGGTGATGGTGGTGGACAAATATAATAAGAAATGAGAACGATTTAAATAATAGTGTCAGTGTGTGAACATGTGGCCGGAAGTCATATTTCTATTTAAATGTATATATAATATTCCTACCGAATTGGTTGATACAGCATCGAACTGTTGTTGTAAATGATGAAAAGCAAGAAGATTGTTCTTTGTAAGAAGACTTGTCGTGGAATTATTATTAGTTGTTGAATTATTATTGTTTCGATTACTCATAGTGGGTGATGAAACAGTTGCTAACATTTTTGAATTCTAAATTATTAAAAATAAGAATTCGACTTTTCTTTTCCTTCATATTAAATAAAAAAAAACTGAAATATGTTGATTATATAGGATGAAATTCTTTTTTTTCTTCTTCTGAGTCCAACAAACATGCACTTACAATTAATAACATATTGGTTGCGTGCGTTTAAACAACCAACATATATATATATATATTATATATATGGCGAAAATATGATTATTTAAAAGTAAAGATTTCTTGTTCACAGTAGACTAACGAAGAATCGTGTTGTTGTATGAACGTAATCGTAAAAGAATAGAAGATTAGCTGAACACTGCAAGTGAGAAGCGTCGTATATATATTGTTATTGATTGATGTGTATATACCTTTCAACTTTCTTTTTCTTCTTTCCTTTCTATATAATATCTAAGATATATTCGGTACGATTGACTGATCACTCGTAGTAACTCTTTTCTTTTGTTTAATAACATCGACGATACATCCTCACTTTTTTTTCTCTTGTTTTATGTGTCTCAATTGGATTCATGTGATGAGCGTGTTATGAAAACGGACGTAGACGACAATGAGAAAGACGACGATGACGATGAAACAATCAAAGATATGAAATATGATTTTTTTCTCTCTTTCCTTTTTTTTTATTCTCTCTATTTTCTATCTGTTATTCTCTCGGTTCGTGAATAGTGAAGAAGCATCATCTACTACATCCCGTAACAGAGACTCTTTTTTTTCTATAGCTCCTCTCTTTTTATATCGTTCTCTTTCTTTTGTTAACAAAGCCAATTGTATTAGTATGCGTGTTGTGTGTATATATATATGATCGGATTTTTTCTTCATACATTTTCTCTTTTCTTTCATATACAAATCAACGAATAATGTCTGCATTCGCGCGTCCATACACATGAATGTTAGATTATACTTACTTACGTGAGATACATGCTTTTAAAAAGCATAATAATGAATAAAAAAAGAGAAGAAGAAGAAGAAGCAACATTGATCAATGTAGAATCTATTGTTTATATATTAATTACAGACAACAACGAAACTTTTTTTTTGAAGTTTAAATATTTTTCCAAGAAAAAAAAGTAAATGACAATCGTGACATAAACAAGGATTAATATCAAATCGTCCAATTGACACGTCTGCAATAAATAAACCTTGCGTTATAAGTATATGTCTGCCTTTCTGTCTCTCTCGTTATATATATATATATGATTAGCAAGGTTATCATTAGTTCTGCCATTCATATAGATTTTCTTTGATTTTGTTTACAATATTATTTTAAATTAAAAATTTACTCTAATCAGATTTCTTTCTTAGAATAATCTATTGATTAAAGAAAAAAAATATGCATCATGCGATAAATATAACAACAATATTTATAATGTGTAAACAACAATAAATCTTAAATATTATCTCATGTCGGACAGACCAATAAGCTCAGATTAAATTAATATGACAAGGAAAGATATATATATAAATAAACTACAATGGTTGCTTGTTTCTAAATTTTTCTTCATCTCTTATTAGTATGAGGTATTTTGTAAGCAGGAACACTTTTTCTACAACTATACTACATACAATAATTGTCAAATTAATGAACAAAAAGTTTTCAGGAAATTTGATTTATTGAAATAATAATAAGATTTTTCATGGTATTATTACAGAATAATGTGATCACTTTTTATTCTAAGATAAGTAATAAATCTATATAAAAAAAACGGAAAGAAGAGAAGGAAAAAAAATCAGTAGACGTCTATTAGCTTTATTAGATATATTTCCAGAAGTGCACTACTGAGAGAATAGTATACTATTAATCGTGCAAATGTATGTATGAGAAGATAGAATATTCTGAATAAAATAGAAAGAAAGAATTGTTATTAGGATAAGTGTTCCAATAAATAACTTTGATGTCGAATTCATTCGTAACTTTCAAGATTCAATTTGTTATAATTCGACTCGTGTGTATTACTTTCATCAAAATTTAACTGACGAAGAGATTATTATGATTAGGTATTTTGTTGATTTGTTAATTAATCTAATCAAATATAAAGAACTGGAAAAATAATTCAAGAGTATTTAATAAAGTATTTCTAATTGTTCGTAAGCCAAAATAGACGCAAATAAATTTATAATCATTCTCGATTAGTCATATACGTATATATTTATCAAAAAAGTAAGTTTCTATTTCTATAGATATGATAATATACGAGTCAAAATATTTGCTGATAAGAAATATTAAGAAGAAAGAAGAATAACAGTTAAACAGTAAACATGGGTCAAGAGAGTACGAAATTTAATAAAAGTTCGAACTTTTAAAAAGTAAGTTCGAGAAAAAAGACATGTGATGAGTCTGTCTACGAGTTTTATAAATACTAATTTCAAAATACATAAATATCATATTTTTTTTTTACAATGTCAACGACAATAGCTAAAACAGAAACAACAGAATTTGTAAATGAAATCGAAGCGATTTATGAACAACCGGTTACATATAAACTTCGGGCATCATCAACATGGGTTACTAAACCTAATAAAGAGCGTACTATATTTGAAAGTCTGGCTACAATAGACCTCGCTGATAAAAAAAACTATACAGTTCAACCTAAAAATCCAAATCCACCACCAATACATAGTATTTGGCTAGAACGTTTTTGGTTCTTTTATACAGTTTCTCCACCACTCATTATTCATGCATTATGGTATTATATTGTACCGGAAAATAATTATTTTCATACATGGCATCCTTTATTTGCATTCCTATTTTATTCTGTGGCATTTTTTCTTATTATCACACGTATTGCTGATCATTGTCATTATTATATGAAATATTATGGAACATTTGATGAACATAATCGACCACGTGATTATGTTCCAGATAAGTTAGTAACTCGTCTTGTTATGAGTGTTCTTATTTATATACTAGCACGTACTGGTGGTGGTCTACTTCTCGGTGGATATGATCGTAATTCTCCACCTTCACTTGGTCATACTATTTCATGGTTTTTTCCTATTAAAATTGGTGTATGGTTAATTGTTTTGGATTTCTTCTTTTATTCATATCATCGAATGACTCATACAATTCCATTCTTATGGAAAATTCATAGTTTACATCATTGTACAAAACATCCAACTGTATTACAATCGATTCTTGCTGGTGATATACAAGAATTAATTGAAATATTTTTGATACCATTAGCTACTTCATTCGTTCTTCCTTTAACAGTACATGAATTTTGGATTGCTCAATGTGTACTTATCTATATGGAAGCAGGTGGTCATTCAGGTATACGTGCTTATTGGCCACATATAATTTTATATGAAGTTCTTCAACCATTTGGTATGGAAATATGTATTGAAGATCATGATTTACATCATAGATATGGAAAAAGTGGTATGAATTATGGTAAACAAACAAGAGTTTTCGATCGAATTTTTGGTACAATTTCTGAACGAATTGAATGTTTACAAAAATAAGAACAACAGATCAACAATAAATTTTTATTTTATATAATAAAGAATTTTCTTATTGAAAGAAAAAACTAATTTTGTCTTATTAGTATAAATATCGAGTCAAATGTTCATCATATTCAGACGATTCGTATAGTAATATTCAAATTGTATTGATTTCTCGTATGTCTCCGAAATCTATAATCATTTATCGAATAAGAGAATAAACCTACTGAGATGCAATAAAAACTACAGGTGTTCGTCTATGCAAATTTAGAAAATGCCATCTTTTTAATGATTAATGAATTTACTTCTCTATTCGATATGTCCTTGTAAAAGAAAATTTCTGCACTATAGAGATACCATTATATTAGAGATAAAAATATTTATAAAAAAAGGTTCCTAATTCGAAAGAATTCATCAACATATTTTGTGACGAAATGATAGTGAAAAAAAAGGTGAAATTTCAAGCTGAAATAGATTATAATCAAAAGTGAAAATACGAATCAATAAAATGGAGTAATCATTGACTAAAGTAAATATAAAGAACACAGTTATAAAATTTCGTAAAAACATCGTGAAGGACAAACTCAGAATTACAGAAATTTTGTTTTACATACTCTTCACGAATAAGTGAAAACTGTTTTATGACTGTATCACTATTAATACATTGTTTTTTATTAGTAATGATACATTAAATTATGAATAATAGTTATTAAGATAAAAATCCTGATGAAGATTTTTTTTGTTGATAAAAATTATTTTATTTTCAAACAATATCAAATATAATATTTAATTCTGTTATATGAATAAATTTTTTTTTATTTCAAAAGAACACTAAAATACATAACATATCAACATAAATTCAAGGATAATGTTTCATTAAAAGTACATTTTATTTTGACTGTCAGCATGATGCTTTATTTAGATTATATTATTCATCTATACTCTTTTTTTTTACAACTAACATATATCGAATTGCGAATAAGCAAAAAGAAATAACCGCATAAGTGCTCTTTATTCCGCATGATTGTTGAAGGTTGCCGGCATGTTTCGTCTTCTTTTTTTTTTCATTCTTCACGTTTTTTTCTTTCGCAAACGTTAAATGAGGTGTATAAAAAAAAAAAGACCGAAAATATTTTTTTGTGTTATTGACTATTAACTTAAGTTGGTGTATGTACGTATATGTCTGAAAGCAACCTCACGTCATTAGTATGCGTCATAGCTGGATGTGGACGTCCAGCAAATGTTTTATGTCATTGTTGTAAAGAAAATCTTTGCCGAAATCATTATAATGAACATGATTATCTGAATTCAAAATTAAATCTCTTAGCTGATGAAATTGATACATTTGATCGACAATTATTAGGAGTTGATTTAAAAAAATATACACAAAATTCCAATGATAGACTTCATCAATGGCGTCTTGATAGTTATAAAGCAATCGATCAATATACAGATCAAAAATATCGTGAAATTGAACAAAATTTAATGAAAATAATCAATCAAAAACGTGAACATATCGAACAAATTCGTGCAAATATGCTTGATA